TACAACATTTGGCAAATCAAATGCCAGATATTTTTACTGACCTAAAACATGTGACTAAGTCGCATGTACCGGTTGCTAATGCTCCAATAAGAATTGATGTCCCTGAAGGACTGTCTACCACTAACAATGAATTAAAGGCACATCTAAAACGTGGTAGGCCAATTGGTTCCAAAGATAAAAATCCTCATAAACAAAAAGGAGCAAATAATGAAGATGGAAAAATCGAGGTAACTAAGATTCTCGAAGAATCCTCAAGAATAAAAACTCCTGAAGAGACAAATGGCATAATAGATAATAAACTTTCAGAAGAAGTTCATGTACCTGAAAATGTTGATAATGATGAAATCTCAATTAATTATGTCATTATTGGAGAAAAATAGAACCGATGTGTAACAGAAGTTGATGATAAGTTTGCATATTTTGTAGCAATTAACATTATGAATGAAAATGAGGATCATGAACCGAGGTTTGTAGATGAATGCAGACGTAGAAATGATTGGCCAAAATGGAAAGATGCAATTCAAGCTGAATTAGATTCACTGGCAAAACGCAAAGTTTTTGGACCAGTAATACGCACACCCGAAGATGTGCAACCCGTAGGTTTTAAGTGGGTATTTGTGCGAAAAAGAAATGCGAATAATGAAATTGTGCGATATAAGGCACGACTTGTCGCACAAGGTTTTTCCCAAAGACCGGGTATTGATTATGAGGAGACATATTCTCCCGTGGTGGATGCAATAACTTTTAGATATTTACTAAATCTGGTAGCTATTGAAAAACTTGAAATGCGTCTCATGGATGTTGTGACAGCCTATTTATATGGCTCACTAGATAATGATATATATATGAAGATCCCTGAAGGATTTCAATTACCTAAGGGACAAGATCCAAATTCTCGAGAACTTTATTCAATTAAATTGTGTAAATCGTTGTACGAATTAAAACAAGCAGGACGAATGTGGTATAATCGCCTTGGTAAATATTTGATAAAGAAAGGTTATAAGAATGATCTCATTTGTCCTTGTATTTTCATTAAAAGATCCAAATCAGAATTTGCAATTATTGCAGTTTACGTTGATGACTTAAATATTATCGGGACCCCTGAAGAGGTCAGAAAATCTGCAAATTGTGTGAAACAAGAATTTGAAATGAAAGATCTTGGAAAGACAAAATTTTTTTTGGGACTGCTAATTGAGCACTTAGAAAGTAGTATTTTTCTACATCAGTCCACGCATATAGAAAAAGTGCTTAAACGTTTTTATATGGACAAATCACACCCTTTGAGCACACCTATGGTGGTAAGATCCCTTGATAAGGATAAAGATCTTTTCCGGCCTCGTGGGGAAAATGAAGAACTACTTGGTCCAGAAGTACCATATCTTAGTGCTATTGAAGCATTAATGTATCTCGCTAGTCATACACGGCCTGATATATCATTTGCTGTTAATTTATAAGCACGATATAGTTCTGCACCTACTCGAAGACATTGGAATGGTATTAAAATTATATTTTGGTATCTTCAAGGTACGATTGATATGGGTCTTTATTATTCAAAGGTATCCAAGTTGGAGCTGATCGGTTATGCCGATACTGGATATTTATCTGATCCTAATAATGGTTGGCCGCAAACAAGGTATCTTTTTACATGTGAAGGAACATATATATTATGGCGTTCTATGAAACAAACTCTAACTGCTACTTCTTCCAATCATGCCGAGATTTTAGCAATTCATGAAGCAAGTCGAGAATGTGTCTAGTTAAGATTGATTGTTCATCACATTCGAGGATCATGTGGTTTGCATTTAGTCAAGAATGGCCCTACTATCTTATATGAAGACAATATTGTGTGCATTGATCAATTGAAGGAAGGATATGCCAAAGGTGATAGAACAAAGCATATATCTCCGAAATTCTTCTATACTCACGATCCTTAAAAGAGTGGTGAAATCATTGTTCAACAAATTCCCTCAAGCGACAACCTGACAGACTTATTCACTAAATCATTACCAACTTCAACTTTTGATAAACTAGTCCACAAAATTGGAATGCGACGACTTAAGGATGTCAAAAGTGATGTGCTCATTAGGGGGAGTGACTGCACCATGTACTCTTTTTCCGTTGACCAAGGTTTTATCTCACTGGGTTTCCTGGCGAGGTTTTTAACGAGGCAGTGTCGCATTTGGATAGTGTACTCTTTTTCCTTCACTAGGATTTTTTTCCCAACGGGTTTTTCCTAGTAAAGGTTTTAACGAGGCATTATTCCGTAACAGACATCCAAGGGGGACTGTTATGAAATACATTTATTTGTGGATGTCTTTTGCCTTTACTACTCTATCTATCTAGTTACATTAAACTAGATTACTATTCTTATCTTATCTATGTAAAAGTTACGGAGTAGTAAATTAGACGTAACATGTTATGGTTTTGTAAAGCCTATAAATTGTGGCTTTACTACTCTATCTATCTAGTTACATTAAACTAGATTACTACTCTTATCTTATCTATGTAAAAGTTACGGAGTAGTAAATTAGACGTAACATGTTATGATTTTGTAAAGCCTATAAATTGTGGCTAAAGTGAAATAAAAAGGGACACCCAAAAGTCTTATCACTATTCCTCTCTTCTCCATTTGCCTTGTTTTGCATTTTCTTTTAAACACACAATTATATTTCACCACGTGGACTATTTTTATGAGACGGAGAGTTAGCAAATTCGATAGATCAAGAAAACAAATTCGATAGATCAAGAAAATAATACTCCCTCTGTCCCAAAATTGTTGTCCAGTTTGAGATTTTACTTTTAATATAATTTGAACTAGAAATGAAATTTCAAACTGAACAATAATTATGGGACGGAGGGAGTATTCAATTTATTGGTACAAACGACCATTAACTTTCAAAATCTTTTATTACATCAATATTTTCTTCCAGCCCATAAAACAAGGTGTAGGGTTGAGTCCTTCTGGATGTTGTAGTCCGCCAAGGTGCGACCATCCTCAAGCCTTTTTCCAGAATAGATCAGATGCAGCCGGTGGGGAAGAATCCCTTCTTTGTCTTGAATCATTGTTTTGACATTATTAATCGTGTCGGAGCTCTTAGTCATAAGAGTTATAGTCTTTCCGGCCGGCGTCTTCACAAAAATCTGTAACGGCGACATCACCAGATGAAGCATCGATTCTTCCTGGATGTTGTTATCCGCTAGGGTTCTACCATCTTCGAGCTGCTTGCCTGAAAGAATCAGCCGCTGATGATCCGGAGGGATGCCTTCCTTATCTTGAACTTTGGCCTTGACGTCGTCGATTGTATATGAGGTTTCGGCCTCGAGGGTGATGGTTTCGCCGGTTAGGGTTTTAACAAAGATCTGCATTTTTTATTTACCGGAAAAGAAAAAATTAACCTAATTTGTTCAAGGGGTTATTTCAGAGGTTTGAACTCTAAATGATTATTTTTTTCAGCATTTATAGAAAATTCTACCGCAGTCCTAGGGGCTAGGCTTCCAGGAATTGTAGAATCCTAATTTGTTTTTAAAACAGGACTAGAACAGTATAACAAAACTCTAGTATAATTTCTTTTTATAGCCACTCTAGAACAGCCGCTGGTGACATTTTACTTAATTATGATTGTCATTATTAAATTTTTATTTTTAGTAATTATTTCAGGACAGAGGGGAATAAAAATATTATTGTGCGCTTTTAAACTTCAAAGAGGGTGAAATATCCCATTCCTTTTATCACTTCTAGAACTTTCTCACCATAAAAAATATAAAGAAACTCAATCAAACCACGATAATATGTATAAGAGATTTCTTTTTTCTTTTTTTTTAGTTGCATTGGATATCACTAGTGCTATTCCCCGCGACCAGTACGTTTTGAAATTTTATTTCATTGTTCTCGTTCAAAAAAATTAGTTATGGCCTATAAAAATTAAAATAATTGTCTTGACGACTAATAATTTATGATAAAAGGTAAAAATAGGTTATAAAAACTATAGGTGGAACATTATGAGTAGTGATACGTACAGGGAAAAAATAACAAGGAAATGTACAAAGAATGATGTGTCAAACATCTAAACTATACCCTAACCTTAAATGCTTAAACTCCGTATGGAAAGTTTTTAAAATGGATGGATGAGATCATTTCCTTGTCATTTTTCCTTGTCATTTTTCTTTGTACCAATCATTATCCATATATATATTAGAGTAGCTTGTATAACAAAATAAACAAAATTCTCATTGTGTGTTATAAGTACATACATAATTAAATTTCCTATGCTTTTCCTCCAAAAAAAATAAAATAAAATAAAATTACTACATAGAAGATATCTTTTCAAGCATTAGACGTATAAGTTATCACTTTAGAATTTTATTTTATACTTCCTCAGTTCCTCTATTCTAAGGGGAAAAAAAAAGATAACAATAAATTTTAAAATTTGTATAAAAAGTGGTACAATTTCAAACTTAATGTAAATTATTTTTTTCGTTTTTTCTTTTCTTTTTTTTTTTTTGCACAGAGGGAGTGCATTATCAGTTTCTTATCATTATTGTTGTACTGAAAGCCGAAAGATTATTTTGATTGTAATTTGGACAGATACAACACTAATCAGTCATCACTCAATAAAATTATTTTGAACAAGCACATACAGCACTTAGTACTAAAAGAAATAAGAACTAACTTTCCACACTATGACAACTACACTTGAGCAGTCATCAGGAACCCAAAATGTATACCATCTCTTCAATTTATAACTCAGTTTCAAAATTTATACCTTCCGTTCAAGTTTAAAATTGCAATTTTAACTGAAGTAATCCTGGCTGCTACGTACCAAGTATACATCTAATCTAAACACGTTACACGTCCTATACTGTTGTTATCCAAAATGCAAGATTTTCAAAATAATTCGAATGCTTCTTCATCATATAAAAGAAATCTAATCCACCGTCAATTCTTTCCACAAGCAAAACTCTCCATTTTCCTCATTTCTCACTCCTTTCCAAGTTCCATCATGGGTCCAGAGCCATCCTCAAATTTCCAATTCCCAATCAAGACAATAGTAGTACTAGTACAAGAAAACCGCTCATTTGATCACATGTTAGGATGGATGAAAACCCTTAATCCGGAAATCGACGGCGTTGCCACCGGAACCGAATATTCCAACCCTCTGTCCACCTCCGATCCTAACTCCGGCCGACTATATTTCACCGAAAAATCCACTTACGTTGACCCGGATCCGGGTCACTCGATCCAAGATATTTACGAACAAATTTTCGGGGTGCAATGGACACAAGACGTGCCTTCCAAGCAACTAAACCCTGCCATGCGGGGATTTGCACAGAATGCTGAACGGAAACAGAAAGGGATGTCCGAGACAGTCGTGAACGGGTTCAACCCGGATGCCGTGCCGGTTTATAAAGAGCTGGTGTCGGAGTTTGCGGTTTGTGATCGGTGGTTCGCATAGGTTCCGGCTTCCACACAGCCGAACCGGTTGTTTGTGCATTCGGCTACTTCTCATGGGTTGACAAGTAATGATACAAAGCTTTCGGTTGAAGGGTTACCCCAGAAAACCATATTTGAATCTTTGGATGATGCTAGTCTTAGCTTCGGAATTTACTATCAATACCCTCCTTCCACACTTTTCTACAGGTTTTTTTTTTTTTTTTTTTCTTTGTTTTGCTTCTATACATTGATTAGTTATTTACATGATTTCATAAAATGAAGATATTCCAGCCGTCACTATTCTTTCTGTCTCAAAAAAAAAAATCACATTGTGGTTTAAGATATATATATATATGTAGTAATTTAAAATTTTAATATAAATTATTTTTCTTGGGAGAAAGGGAGTAATTGCTAACAACACAAATTAAGTTAAATTTAATATAAATCCGCTTTCTTCTTCTTCTTCTTTTATTTTTTTTTTCCTTTTAAAGGTATTTGAATTCCTAAGAACTTGTGTCTAGATAATATTGTCTTGATTTGAAAATTTAATTTGGTTTGTTATCCTGAGTGGAATATTCGTTCTATCAAGTACCTAGATCGATGGACGTGGAATGAAATATGGATTGGAAAAGGACATCTTTTTGGGTTCATTTTTTTGTTCTAAAAGTGACACATTTAGTTCCTTATATTAGTTTTTCACCTATGAGTAAATGGGAATAATAAGAATTTCTTACCTTTCATGAATTTGATTCAGTTGCGAATATGAATAAGGAACAACTAGCAGTTGTTGGAAGAATCCCATTTTGGGAAAGAGCTGATCAATATTTCTTGTAGTTATAGTGCTCAATTGTTGAGCAGTTAATCGTAAAACTCGTAGTTGCACAATGCAGAAGTATATAAAATTGAGTTCTTATGCTTTTTAAAAACAATTTCATAATCAATTTGGCATCACTCGGTCGGGCGTTCTTTCTCAGGAGCTAATGTATACTAATCATTGCGGCTGAGTATATTGAGTCCTGTTAATCATATATTGTAAGAATTGTTGAACCTCCATAACTTTTATGTCATAATTGTAAAATATTGTAAGGAGTATATTTTTAGCTTAATCACCGTTTTCACGTTTGTGTTAAATATGAAATAATCAGTAATGATGGTAAATGGTATATGAACAACAAGAAAACAAAGTCATCAGATAAAGGATCTGTTGATCTAAATCTTTTTCTTCTATTAATTCCGTGTCAATATGATCAACCGAATATGTATGTGTTAGATTTCCTATTTTGGGGTAGGTACTAAACTCAAGGAAAACGATTTAACGACGTATATATTCCCTATTTTGGATTTCCTATTCAGTTTTACGAATTCGAAAAAAAAATATGGAAATTCTAGAAGAAGAATGGTATGATTTCGTAGAAAACTCATATGAAAAGTGTGCAGATATGAAGAAGCTAGCTAGCGTAGCTTAAGTGTTAATAAAACGAGAAGTAATTGGGGTGTGGTGTAAGATTTAAGTTGCAAGTTGTGGTGATGACAGCAAACTCATGGGGTGTCTTTTTTGGCTTTTTTGTTTTTTTTTTTGTTTTTGTTTTTGATAATCAACTCATGGTAGTCTTTGATTTCATTATGTGTTAATGAAGTCATTTCTTGATGCACTTTTGTAGTACGTCCATTCTAGTCTAAAAAAGAGTTTTGTTGGTTGAAGGATCATAAATAATTTTAAAAGGGAATCAATAAAAGACCTTTTTCATCTTATGAACCAATTTAGAACATTTGTAAATTAGCTAGGTACTACTTAATTTTGAACAATGGAAATGGAATGGAGGGGTATCATCAAAAAGATAAATTTTCCTTTCAGCTTTTATATTAATGTTTCTTCAACAAATTGATTTCATTTATTTATGTTAATAAACTTTATATTATGAGTATTCTCTTCCTGAATTTTCTTTTTTTTTTTTTGGTAATTGCTCATATTAATCATAGGAATCTTCGGAAACTCGAGTACTTGAAGAATTTTCACCCTTTCGATCTCACTTTCAAAAGGCATTGCAAAGAGGGAAAGCTTCCAAATTATGTAGTAATTGAACAGAGGTATTTTGACCTAAAGATATTGCCAGGCAATGATGATCATCCTTCTCATGATGTGTTTGAGAGCCAAAAATTTGTGAAACAAGTCTATGAAGGTTAAGATCAGGTTCCACAATGGAATGAGATGCTATTCGTAATTGTATACGATGAGCATGGTGGTCTTTTCGACCATGTTCCGACTCCTGTCACTTTAGTTCCTAGCCCCGATGACCTTATTGGACCGGAGCCTTATAAGTTCCAGTTTGATCGCTTAGGAGTAAGGGTTCCCGCCATCTTGATATCTCCTTGGATCGAAAAAGGAACAGGTAAAATGCACATTTATTTCAAAAACAAATTTGGTGGTCTCTGTCAATGCTCACATTTTACTATTTAATCTGTTGGTGGATGTATCTTTGCAGTGCTACATGGACCATCAGGACCGTATCCTACATCTCAATTCGAATATTCTTCGATTCCAGCAACCGTCAAAAAGATTTTCAACTTGAAAGAGTTTCTTACCAAGCGCGATGCTTGGGCCGGCACTTTTGAGAGCTTGATCAACAGAGAAAATCCCAGAACTGACTGCCCTGGTAAATTTCTGCACAAATTGTCGCTACTCTCTTTATGTTTGGAGTTAACTTTTGTACATAAGATTGACATTTGAGAAAGGTGAGCTATTTTTGAAGATTTTGTTTCTGCTTTTTGACTGGATTTCATTTTATTCAGAAATTTTGCCTGAGCCTGTGAGATTGAGGGACACCGAAGCCAAAGAAGATGCCAAGTTAACTGATTTCCAAAAAGAATTGGTTCAGATGACAGCAGTATTAGGGGGAGACCATAAAAAGGACATTTATCCACACAAACTTGTGGGGGGCAGGACTGTTGCTACAGCAGTGGATTATGCCAATACTTCATTCGAGAAATTCTTAGATGAATGTGAGAGATTGAAGCAAAATGGAGCTGATGAATTCACAATTTGTTCTTTACCTCTACCGGTAGCTGAGCATTCAAAGAAACAACCCAACTCGCGTTCTTTCATTTCCAAGTTCTTTTCCTGTGTTGCCTGTAACAATTCCTAAAATATTCCGAAACGGATCATTATGAATGCCTCTACAATAAGATCATGTAATGCATGAATATTCCTACAACACTATATTATCTTCCGGTAAAATTGTATGTCATTTAAAGCTTCTGCACTCTTTATCTTACAAAAAGTATGGCATAAGTTTGAATTCTGTGGTATCAGGATGTTTCATGATGGCTAGCTGAACAAAGAAGTAAGGAATTCAGCAATCTCAAATTCTGAGTTCTAAAATGAATGTTAGTTTTCCTCAGTGGATAACTAACCTCATCTGTTGATCCTGAATTTGCATTGAACGTAAGTAAACTAGACAATGCTCAGGGGGAAATTGGTTACTCCCTCCATCCTAAAATTAGTACAACAAACAGAACAGTCAATTTGGATGGAGAGAGGGAGTACTTAAGTTTCAGGTGATGAAAAGAGAGTGACCTGCTGTTTTACTCATAACATGAAATGATGGATCATAAACCAAAAGAAAACAGTTCAGACATCAACAACGAAAGAAAAGGAAACATAAATCCAAAAATCAACAAGGCCTGGGGGCCGTGAAACAGATCATGTTCGACGTGCATCAAGTGTAAAATGGAAACAAACCGAAAGAAAAGTAACTGTTCACGACCTTGTCCGTGCTGGGAAAGTGGCTTCTGCTTTGGGATCATCAAAAATCAATAGGCAACCAGCTCCCTGATCCAGAGTTCCAGCAAACTTCTTATCCAGATTCGAGAATCATCTGTGATAACTTCTTCTCGACATGGTCAGCAGCAGGCAACCCAATTAATTCAGCAGCTATTTCTATCCTCAAGAAGGGTTCATTGAACCTGCAAAGATTCTGCTCCAACAAGGTGTGATAGAGATACGAAGGCTCTTGTGGACAACCAGACCTCCTCCTAACTGTTCCCTATAGTTCGGAAGCCCTGCCTTGCATCAAGTTCAGGACCCTGGTATTGAAATTTCGAACCAACTTTGGGTGATAAGATTATGCCACCAACATCATCAGCCTGGCGAACCATGATTTGGCACAGCCACATGTACTTTGGACTAAACATGAACTGAGGATATCCAAGGGCATTCAAAGCTTCAAATGCCTCATAGAAATAGCTATAAGCTGTCTTATAGTCCTTTTCCTCTGCATGCACAATCCCACTCTGTAAATCTATCGTCCCCTGATCTGCTGGAAGAACATAAATTGCATTTTCTGCGGTTCTGGAAGCAATAAATGCTGCTTTAGCTGCATGATGATCAGTCAAACAAACATGGAGCTTGCTCTTAAGCACGTGAATCTCAACAAAATGTAACTTGTTACCCAGTCTTCTCACCTCTTTGATAAGTTCAGACCACGGAGCTAAAGCTTCAGAATACTCCTTATTCTCCAACAACAGAGCGGCAAGCTTTGCCACAATCCGCTGACGAAGGAAAGTTCTGGTCCAGTGACTAACCCCTACAAAGTGCAATCTGAAGATCAATGAATCAACAATCCCACAGCCAATTTTTGCTGTTTCTGCCTTAGGGATTAGCGAAACAAAAAAAAAGGCGCAATTGGGTCAAGTGGTTAGTAAGTTCCTGTACCGGTTTTCCTGTGAAGATCAGAGAGATTTGCAACAGCTCTCTTTAATTCTCATGGCCTCTGAAGAAGATGAAGTATGGAGATGGACTCAGCAGGACTTTTGGCTTCAGAATCCTGTGCAAGGGAATCAGTATTCTTGCAATCAAAATAAAATCCAGTTACACCTAATCAACTGATTTGATTTTGGAGAGGTTATGACTACCGGAAGAGGGTGGTGTAGATGGTGGCCGGCGACCTATCTCAGCCAGAAACTGGCGGTGATGGGAGGAGAGGTTTTGGGTTTTGGGGGCGATAGTTTTTAAACGAAGAAAGTGGGCTTTTTAATAATCTAAACGACGACGCATAGCCGGGTCAATCATGTTTAGAACCTCTACGAACCACCACCGACCATGGCGAACAACAATGAGCAGTCGCCGGAACGGGAGGACAAGCGGCCTGGCTGCTGCATATCACACTTATTTCACTACGCGGCATTAAAATCACCGGATAAAGTCGCCGTCATACATGCTTCCGGTGGCGCGAAGTTAATGTCCCAGCAGCCTCGCAACAATTACGCCGGTGACGGGCAAACATCACCGTCTGTTACAATAAACGAGTCAATTGAGTCGCAAACAACCCTGCCTGAATCGTCGTCCTCCCCGCAGCCTCCAGTATACGAAGGCGACAAGTGCTTCACGTACTCTGATATTCACCGTGCAGTCGATGTTCTTAGTAGTCGGCTGAGGCGCATTCTTGATGGTGCTGATGATCCTCATCTCACCAGACTTCCTCAATCAGGTATCCTTTTGGGGCTTAATTCAATTCTTCTGTCTCGTTGCTGCTGTAATGATGTTCGTACCAGTTTATTTCCAAGATAAACCGGTGATTAGTTTTGTTGACTGTAGCAAAGGAAGGGATCAGTTAATTGCTTCCATTCCTTGTGAGCAGATTTTTTTTTTTCTGAATCATTGTAGTGAAATATAGAACCAGAAGTGATTCTTCGACTTGGTTCATTTAAGAAATGATTTTGAAATTGTACTTGCTGTGAAAATTTCTTTACTCCAAATTACTGTCAAACTGTCAAATTGAAGTTCCTCAACTTTGATTTGTTTCTCTTTTCGATCTGACTGAATGCTCTGGTGTTTTTGAATTCCCAGAGATTTCAAGTTCTACTGGACAGCGTATTAATTTTTTGGAGACCAAGTATATTCCAAGGAGAATAGCAATATACATGGAACCCTCTGTGGAGTACATTGTTGGTGTGCTCTCTGTCCTAAGGTGTGGAGAGGCATTCATGCCACTTGATCCATCTTGGCCCAAAGAAAGGATTCTGTCCGTTGTTTCTTCTTCTAGAGCCGATCATATTATAGGGTGTAAAATCTCGGGTGATGATAAGTATTTCCACCAGCTTGACAAGTTAAATTGGCTACTCTCCAGCGGTCATTGTCCTGTTCTTTGTATTTCTATGATAGACTTTGCCATACAACATGATGAGTTTTGTGATCTCCCATGGCCTTGTCAACCTGAAGTCTCAAGACTTTTTAGTTACTTGATGCACACTTCAGGATCCACAGGAAAGCCAAAAGGCATTTGTGGCACTGAAGCAGGTTAGATTGTTAATTGATCTCATGATTTAGTAGTTTTGCGTGTTATTCATCCGAACCAAATGGTTCTGTCAGCCCTTTGCAGGTCTTTTGAACCGATTCTTTTGGATGCAAGACCTTTATCCCCTGCATGGAGAAGCACATCTAATTTTCAAGACATCCACAAGCTTCATTGACCATGTGCAAGAATTCCTATGTGGCATGCTTACTACTAACACCATAGTTATACCTCCATTCAATGAACTCAAAGAAAATATACTTCTTCTTGTTGACTTCTTGCAGCTGACTGACTTATCTTAAAAATTGTCTTTGTTGACTTGGTTTAGAACATATTACCTCAGTATTGTGTCATGAACGAGACCTAAAAGATACCAGTGAAACAATCAAATTTCTTGTTTATTATGCAATATATTTTTGAAGTGTTTCCTTACTGTATGCAGATTCTCTGGATATGGTATTTATGCTTTTGTATCCTTCTTTATGAAGGTTTGCAACATAGCTTTGTCCAGCACCATGTATCGCCTATTATTGATATTTTTTGTAACACATTTACCATTCTTTATCTTTGGAGAGAACCCCTTTATACAGTGGAATGATTATTGCCTTCTAGTCCGTAAATAGGAACACATCTTTGGCCCCAAATGCAATACTTCATGGAAAAATTAGTAGCTTAGTGTTAGGTTTCTCCACGAGAAGCTAGTTGGTAGAACATCAGAGTGATTTGAATGAGAAGCTGCACATTTTACAATTTTAATTTCCTTTATCCCCTCTATCTGCCTATGTTGAGGCTTTAAATAAATTGTTTTCGTTTGATAATTACCCATTAAATGGGATGAAAGCTTGTTGTTTCTAAAGATTTTTCTGGAATTGGTATACTAAAAGATTCATGATATCTTTGTGGCAGTTTTTCCTTCTCTCTTCTGCTACATCACGCTGAAAATTGTTGTTATGACCACATAAATAGTTCAACAATACTGTTACTGTTAGTGTCGGTGAATGTATTGAATCTTAATGATTTGAGAAATGATTTTATCTTCTTCATGACCAAATGCAAGTGCAACATTTACTTTCAGTGATCCAGACATCAAATGCTTTTGTTTTGTTGATTGACAGATGTATGCTGTGAATTGGCTTGTGGCTGTTCCATCACTAATGAGAACGGTTCTTCTTCCATTGCAAAGTCCAAATTATACAAGACTTTGAAGTAATTTGAAAGTTCTGGTTTTAAGTGGTGAAGTTTTTCACCTGTCCCTATGCGAGACTCTGATGAAGTTACTACCTCATACTGCTGTTCTGAATTTATATGGTAGTACAGAGGTGAGAAGGTTCAAACTCACTCTACTTATAAGCTGCCTTTAAAGAAAAACTGAAATCAACTGTTTTGATCAAAATTGCTCCAAAGCATGTGTTTTTTTTACCTTAAGTGCATATGAATCTACATGATGAATAATGTTCTTGTTTTTGTGATTGTCTTCTCCCTCGTTGAGTTCAAAGGGAAGAATCGCTGAAAATGTAGGAGCCTTTGAGAAAAAAGTATAGATGAGATATTTATAAATCCCTTCCTATGGTGGACACCTGAAAGATGGAGCATTAAATCAACCAACGATATGGCTGTCACTCACCATATGTTTCTTTCTTGTTGAGTTAGTATGCATACAGTTCTACTTTGATTACCATGGCTTAACATGGCTGTAGGAGGTGGTTAAGCACAGATAGGCTGACAGGACACTTTTCTGGTTCTATTTTAGCTAGCTGATTACTTATTAATTTTTTTCCCCGTGCCCTGGTGATCTTCTTAGAATCCTTCCTAAAGTTAACATCAAGAAACTGGGCCAGAAACATTGAAAAGAAATGAAACTGTTATGGGTGTCTAAGTTTTATAATGGAATATGAAGTTTCTTTTTTTTTAATAATTTAATCTTAGTCGTGGTGTACTTTTTCCCCACCGAAAATTTGATCTCATTTCCAATCAGGATAAAAAATTTTCATGTTGGAAGAAAGAGGAATTTTCCTTTATAAATTGTTGTTCATTGGTGGAGCTTCAAATTTGGTTCACCTTATTTATGTTTCTTCACGGCTCTAATTCTCTTCTCGATAGAGTAGCAAGTCTTGACATTCAACCCTAATTTCCAAGTGTCCTGTGAAGATATGCATCTTTCATATTAGTGTGAACCATTCGTGGAGACTATGGGGCACTTTAACTCTTACATCTTTCATATCAGTGTCCAGCATTCTGGAGATGATTATAGACCACTTTAACTCTTCGTCTCCCAAATATTCTGGCTCTTTCTATTTCTTGTTTTTGGACTTGGCTGCTTTGACCAGGATCTTGCAGAATGATTGGGATTGACACTATCATTTGTCAAGAATAAAGCATCAAAAATGAAATTGGTTTAACTTATTGCTTCACCCAAGTTAGAAAGCAATAACAACTGTGTTTGATGCATGTTCAGTTTAATTCTCGTCTTTTGTAATAATTCACTAGTGGAGTTGATACATGTAGTTTTATACTCTTTGATGGTTTTTACATTCTCCTTTTCTCTCGGGGCCTTTTATGATCTTCTCATTTAGACTTCTACAATGATGATGCCTTCAATTTTTGTTTGTTTTTCCTTCTCGTTCTTCTTGGTTGAACTCTGAACTTGGTTTGATAATCATTGGTTCCTTGTAAGTCTGTTCTTTAAAGATGGAATTCTAGACTAAGTGCCCTCTTTTTGCCTATAATTCTTTTTGAATCTTAGGTTTCAGGTGATTGTACGTATTTTGATTGCAAGCAGTTACCAATGATTTTGGATAATGAGGTTGTTTGCAGCGTTCCGATTGGGTTACCCCTCTATAACTGTGATGTTGTGCTTGTTCGAGAAGATGCACCCGGATATGGGGAAATATGTGTTCAAGGACTGTGCAATGCTGCTGGATATTATGATCATCCTTCCGTTACACCACTTTCTTATGTTGAAATGCCTGACGAAAGCCGTACATATAGCAACTTTAAACATCAGTATTACTTCAAAACCGGTGATTTTGCTAGACAACTTGATAGTGGTGTGCTCATTTTTGTCGGAAGGGAGGACCGCACCATTAAGTTCAATGGCCAACGAATTGCTTTAGAAGAGATAGAGAGCACATTGATTGAGCATCCAAATATAGTTAATGCAGCAGTGGTTTGCCAGAAGAATCATGAAGAAGTTATGTATATTGAAGCACATGTAGTGAGAAAGCCAAAGGAAGACTCCAATGAACATTTCAAATCTTTGATCCGGAGTTGGATGTACAACAAAGTCCCACAGGCAGTAGTTCCAAGCCGTGTTATTTGTGCAAAATCCTTACCTATTTCTTCTGGGAAAGTGGATTACAATAGGCTGCTTCGGTCCTCATTTTCAAGGGAACGGTCGGGGCATACAACTGACGAAATTCAGGATCATGATCTATTGGAAGCCATTACTAAGGTCGTAGGTCTAACTATAATTAAGATTTTTCTTCATGTATTGTTCTTACTTTCTGGTTTTTCTTTCCACGTCATTTATATGCTAAATTTTGTACAAACCAAAACTTCTGGTTATGAGGATCTGAAGGGGAATATAGGAGTTTAGATACTTGTTTTTTCCTATGGCTCCTATATGCTAATTGCAGGGCAATTGGTGAGGGTGGCACAATGAACTTTGAAATCATATATACTGATTACTTTTAGATTCTATGAACACAATTTTATTGGGGTAGAGTTGTAAGAACATCTCTTATATGTCATCCTGCAATACTATTTACTCGTAGCTAACAGTAATATGATGTTTCCTCAATTTATTGGACCTTAATAATATCTCTTATGTCATAAGTACGTGTAAATTAGTATAATAATCAACCTGGAATTAGATTCACACTATTGATAATAATGCAAAATTGCTAATGGCAAATTTAGGTGTGATTGGGTAGAGAGGGTAAGTAATCTTGTAGCATCTGAAGAATCATCAATTATGCTTTGTGTAAAACACACAGTATACACTAGTTTGAAGTTTAGTTTTTTTACATACTGAGGAGGCATAAAACAAAAATGACTAGGTTACATCATAATAACACCGAACTAATCTAATAGATACCAAATAGCCTAAATACTCCAAAAGAAACCCAAATACTTCACATTGAAATCCCTGCCGTATTTGAGGGTCTTCACCGACGAAGTTAATCTAAAATCCTGGAATCATCTGTTGTGGCGGAAAGAATATAAACACAACAAACTACGGAAACGAACCCCAAGAAAATCTCCTTTCCTACTACCAATAAAATAGGACAACCACCCAAACAAGCAACTAATTCAAGAACTGATAAAATAAAGGAGGCATGCGAATTTACGTGGAAACTCAAATCGGGAAAAACCACGGGACTGTAACAACAGTCAAATCTCCACTATCACAATAATGGGAAAACAGTCTTCACCGACTGGTGGATACACAAGACTTCACCCAAAGGTGGATTACAACAATACTCTTCCACACACACCTATCACAAAGTAGGACTGGAAGGATCTAACCAAAAGAGAGCTAAACCGAAAACTAAACCCTAGCTTTCTTTCTTTTCTCTCGTACAAAAATAATGCACGGCTGCCCAAATTTTCCTTCTCTTCTTGGCTGAAAAACACACATAAAAATTATGCCAAAGCCTTGCTTTTATTGAACAAAAAAACCTAAAAAACAAAAACCCAATTGGAGTGGGTTTTGTTCCTTAAACCAAATTGATTTGGTTTCAATCACTGCTGGGCCCAATTTGAGGGGAACTCGGGCCCAACAATCTCCCCATTCACCTCAATTGGGGTAAAACCAAACCCGCTTCCTGTCTGCAAAACAGGAGCTTGTCTCTACTCATAGTCTTCGTCAACATATCGGCACTGTTGTCATCCGTATGGATTTTCTCAAGAAACAACGCCTTGGACTCCAACACATCTCGAATCCAATGATATCTCACATCAATATGTTTTAACCGCGAATGAAATGTGGAATGTTTTGCTAAGTGAATAGCGCTCTGGCTATCACAATGCACCACATACTTCTCTTGCTTCATGCCAAGCTCTTGTAGAAACTTCTGCAACCAAAGTGCTTCCTTACAAGATTCAGTAGCTGCGATAAACTCTGCCTCTGTAGTAGACAAAGCAACACATTTCTGCAATCTACTCTGCCATGAAACTGCTCCCCCTCCATAAGTCATCAAGTAACCAAAAGTAGACTTCCGACCATCCAGGTCACCCGCCATATCAGCATCTGTATATCCATCTAACATGGTCTTCCCATTGCCAAAGCAACGACTCAATCTGGAAGTACCCCTAAGATACCTGAGAATCCATTTCACAGCATTCCAATGCTCCATACCAGGATTGGAGAGAAACCGACTAACAACCCCAACTGCATGAGCTATGTCTGGCCTTGTGCAAACCATCGCATACATTAGGCTGCCAACTGCCGAAGCATAAGGAACCTTTTTCATCTCTTCCTTATCTTTCTCACTTTTAGGACACTGCGTTTTGCTTAGCTTAAAATGCCCTGCAAGTGGAGTCGAGACTTCCTTAGCACCGCTCATGTTAAATCTATCAAGAACCTTCTCGATATACTTCTCTTGAGATACCCAAAGCTTCCCATTCTGTCTGTCACGAGAAATCTTCATCCCAAGGATCTGTCTAGCTGGACCCAAATCCTTCATCGCAAAGGATTTATTCAACTCCTTTTTCAACCTAGCAATCTTTGCAGTATCATGACCAACAATCAACATGTCATCGACATAAAGCAAAAGAATTATAAAATCACCATCAGAGAATTTCTTCACAAATACACAATGATCAGCTGTAGTCCTTTGGTATCCCTGCCCTATTATAAAAGCATCAAACTTCTTGTACCATTGCCTCGGAGCTTGCTTCAACCCATACAAGCTTTTGTTGAGACGACATACAAGCTTTTCTTTCCCCTTCTCCTGGAACCCATTTGGTTGCTCCATGTAAATCTCTTCTTCCAAATCACCATGCAGGAAGGCTGTCTTCACATCAAGCTGTTCAATCTCAAGATTCAAGCTGGCTGCTATCCCAAGAACAACTCGGATTGAAGACATCTTTACAACAGGAGAGAATATCTCATCAAAGTCTACGTCCTTTCTCCGATTGAATCCCTTCACAACCAATTTGGCTTTGTACCTCGGTTGTGAGCTGTTCTCACTTGTTTTTAGTCTAAACACCCATTTATTCTTGAGTGCTCTCTTGCCCTTAGGCAGCTTCACCAGGTCATACGTGTTATTCTCATGCAAGGATTTGATCTCATCTTGCATGGTTGCTAACCACTGATCTTTTTGCTCATGACTAAGAATCTCTTCATACGACTCTGGCTCTCCCCCATCAGTAAGAAACAAATACTCATGAGCACTGTACTTGGTGGAAGGTCTCTTGTCTCTGGTGGACCTCCTAGGCTGAACAGGAGGTGATGAAACCGGTGGTGTCTCCGTTTCATTAGCAGGATCATCATCAAACTCACCATTCTGCTGCGGAGTCTTCGGAACACTCTTCTGAAGTTTAATGCCATGGTCTCGGCAATACTTCTCAAACGGACCCCTGTACTCACCACCATTATCTGCTTGAACACACTTCAACTTCTTGCCAGTCTCTCTTTCAACTCTAAGGTGAAAGTCTTTGAACACATCTAATACCTGGTCTTTAGATTTCAAAGAAAAACACCAAACCTTTCGAGCATAGTCATCAATGAAAGTAACAAAGTACAATGTTCCACCCAACGACCTATCTTTCATGTAACATACATCTGTATGAACTAACTCTAGAGGACTGGACTTCCTAGATGGAGGAGAATTTTGAAAGGAAACCCTATGTTGTTTACCATAGATGCAGTCAACACAATGTTCTAGAGCAGTACCTTTCACCTCTGGAGAAATTGCTTTTTACCAAGAATCTGCAACCCCTTAACACTCATGTGTCCAAGCGTTCTGTGCCAGAGATCAATGGAGGCATTGTGAGTCGCATTCACCTCTCCATTCTTCAACTTTGCATTCAACACATACAAAGAGTTCAACTTCTTTCCTCTAGCAATAACAAGATTCCCTCTGGTAATTGTCCAACGGCCACCACCTTCAGTGCTATGATAACCCTCATCATCAAGTTTACCAACGGAAATAAGGTTCAGACGCATATCCGGAACATGTATGACATTCTTCAAGACAAGAGTACAACCTGTATTCGTTACCAATGATACCTCTCCCATGCCGACAACATCGCATGAGGCTTGGTTGCCCATTCTTATACGACCAAAATCTCCAGGTATGTAAGAGGTAAAGAAGTGTCTGTGAGGCGTCACATGATAAGACACACCTGAATCATTGAACCAATCACTGTCGTGGCTCGCAACATTAATTGTATCATCATCACAGTACACAAATACATCACTGGTAGTTACTACTGCAGTAGTGTCATCATCACTTGATTCATCCTTCTTGCCTTTACCTTTTCTCGCTGCTAGTTCTCTCTTGAGAACCCTGCACTCCCTCTTAAAGTGCCCATTCCCTTGACAATGGTAGCACACGACGTCTTTCTTGGATTTAGACCATCCCCTGGACTTGTCATTCTGATCATGTGGCCCTCTGCTTTTACTTCTCCCTCTTCTATCTTACTTTTCTGTCACCAAAGCCTGCGACTCAGACTCAATACTCTGCTCTTTTCTTCTGACTTCTTCATTCATCAAAGCCTCTTTGGCCTGATCCAAGGTCAAGACACCATCCTGGGTTGAATTACTGATTGATACTACCAAAGTGTCCCAACTGTCTGGAAGAGAACTAAACAATAACAAAGCCTGCACCTCATCATCCAACTTTAAACTTACATTCACAGCTTGGTTAAACAAACCCTGAAACGAACTCAAGTGCTCATTCATGCTAGCACCATCTTTGTACCTCAACCTGGTAATCTGTTTCAGCGCAGATGACTTATTGATGTCGGACTTCTTCCAGTACATATTCTGGATTTTCTACCAAAGTTCATCAGCTTTTGTTTCTCCCGAAAAGTGATGAAACACACTTTGATCAACCCATTGTCGAATATTACCAACAGACTTCCTGTGCATATCAGCCCACTTTTTATCAGTCATATCACTTGGCCTACCTTCATCCCCTAGAACAGGATCAAACAAATCTTTGCAATACAAAAAGTCTTCCATTCTAGGCTTCCACATATGATAATTGGATGAAGTCAATTTAATCATCGTACCAGTACCCGATGACTCTTCTATTTTATTGGTGTAACACCTCAACTACCGAACCGTAGCTCTGATGCCACTGTTGTGGCGGAAATGGTATAAACACAACAAACCACGAAAGCGAATCCCAAGAAAATCTCCTTTCCTACTACCAATAAAATAGGACAACCACCCAAACAAGCAACTAATTCAAGAACTGATAAAATAAAGGAGGCACGCGAATTTACGTGGAAACCCAAATCGGGAAAAATCACGGGACTGTAACAACAGTCAAATCTCCACTATCACAATAACGGGAAAACAGTATTCACCGGCTGGTGGATACACAGGACTTCACCCAAAGGTGGATTACAACAATACTCTTCAACACACACCTATCACAAAGTAGGACTGGAAGGATCTAACCAAAAGAGAGTTAAACCAAAAACTAAACCCTAGCTTTCTTTCTTTTTCTCTCGTACAAAAATAATGCACGGCTGCCCAAATTTTCCTTCTCTTCTTGGCTGAAAAACACACATA